AAAGAGTGACATACAAAGGCAGAAGTACTGTCAATAATTTGCAGAGAGACAACAAAAGAAACTGGAGTGTGTCTGATGCTGGTTTTTGTTTTTCTCTTTCCTTGCTCCTCTCATTGTGATGCCATCCTAAAGGGAATTCAGAGCTCTAGTGATCGAGATGGTGTTGGCCACGGATATGTCCTGTCATTTCCAGCAAATCAAAGCCATGAAGAATGCTTTGCAGCAGCCAGAAGGGTGAGTCACTTCACAACGCTGTGCAGTGAGGGGCTGCATTTCAGCTGGTGCTTTGCCATTGTGTTTGACTTCAAAAGCACCTCTCCAGAGGCCCTCACTTTCTTTGATGTCCACATGGATTCTCTTTGTGCTGTTGAATTTTGAGTGAATTCACTTAGGAGTGGACTGGCACCCCCCTATACACACATGTCTATTCTGTGCTGGTGAACCAAAGCTTGCAAAGGTCACCATGTTGGGATAAGCCTCTCTGGGCATTTTGCTTTACATATCAGGGTAACATCAAGGACATGATCCAGCTGAGTGACCTCTACAGCTTGAGTATGAGTCAAGGTTACAAGATCTGCAGAACACAACTTACGCATTGCCCTTCTGCAGCTGGTATCAGCTGCCATCTCTGCAAGGGGCCTGCTCCATAACCAGAGGACAGATGAAAACAACTTGAGATCCACTGAGGGAAGGACTAGAAGATAACAGATGGAGCAGTATGGGGAAGGCCTTTTCTTCTTCCCAGTACACCACTGGGAGCTGTAATATTTTGTCCACAGCTCTTCCCCATAAAATTCCTTTTATACTGCAGAAAGCTCTGAGTGATGGCCATTTTTGCACCCTAGACACAGGTCTGTCCAGAGCCTCCCAGAATTACACTTGTATCAGACCAGAGTGTGGCTAGCCACTTGGTCCTCTCAGAAGCTACAACTTTTCCAGCTATTTCAGACAGTCAAAAGCTAGCATTAAAAACTGAGACTACCCATCCCAAGAAAGCGTTATTTACTGGGTTCTTGGGCTAGCCTTTCATGTTATGGTTTTAAGAAATTGCCAGCCCTTTTTGTTCTGTGGAACCAAATGCAAGGATCACCTTCTGATCTCACACTAGTTTTCTAACAGTGAAACATTTATCAGTTACTGTGTAGACTCATCAGTGCCCCTGAGATCAGATCCTAACTGTTTACTACAGTAAGATGGTAGGGACCAACTTCTCTTTTGAGCTGCATAAAATGCAGCCCAGCTGAAATGGGGAACACCACAGCTCTTCAAGCCTGCTTGTGCAGACAAACAAGCCTGGAAAGTATTTCAGCAAGGCTGAGCAAAGTTTCTTTTTGCACTTCTTAATGTCTCTGTTACAACAGGAATAGTATATGTTGGAGAAATTAGACAATCTTTCATAGTTGTCTGATTTTATGAACACAGAAATCATTCCATTAATATCTTGACCAAAGATTCTAGTGACCTCATTTCCCTGCTTTGGGGAGATTTTTGTCATTCTCCACTGCAAGAGCAGACAATTAATTTGTTTGATCCTTTGGGTTTTCAGAATTGACAAGCCGAAAGCCTTATCACTGTTGTTGCATACAGCAGATATCAGTCATCCAGCCAAGGCCTGGGATCTCCATCATCGCTGGACCATGTCTCTACTAGAGGAGTTCTTCAGACAGGTAAAGCTAGGGAAGTTCCTCTGCATTTCTGCAGCACAGAGGGAGTGTGTAGGACTGGGCAAGGAAGTAGGAAAATACGAACACAGATCTTTTCCTTCTCTGATTTTCTCAAGAACCTCCTAAATGATATGAAGCTTTCTCATCTGGCACCATGCACTGGCTGTTATGCCTCTTGGGAAGTTAGTGTCTGATATGCTGCCTATAGATATAGATGTTATCTACACAGTAGAAATTCTAATTTGGGAAGCTAATGTGTGTTTCAAATTAGCAAAATATAGAATATGTGACATGCTACTTAGCTGTAGAACCATAGAAAACAGATTTAAGTAGCTGTACTTTATAGAACTGTACTTACATTGTTGGCGTAGATGTGAAAAATGCATTACCCTTACTTTAGATGAAGTGAACTGATCTAGTTTATAGCTCACAGTGGTCTGCCTTTTGACAGACCCACACATCTAGACAAATCATTAAGCTCTGTGTGATAGCCATAAGCTCCCCAAGTGACTAATTAAAACCATTTAAACAGCTGCCTTAAAAAAAAAAAGTAGAAGTAAACAGAGCACTTAGGAGTGTTTAGGATACTTTTCACCAATATGAATTACTAAACCAAGCAGAAAACAAAGTGCTTTATTTCCCTCCAAAGTTCAATAACTTAATGTTTTATAATAACTCTGAATGAAAAAAAAGAAAATTATATGACAATTTTTAAAAAATTCTAGCAATTTTTTTAAATGGCAGTTGTTTTTAAAGGCATTGTGGGAATCCCTTCTTCATAAGGACATTGCAAGAATTTGCTTTGAAATGAATTATTTAATTTGTTTTCCAAACCAAGAGTGGGTTTACTAGATGGAAGCACTTTGGTCATACCTGCATCTGTCTCTGTGTTGCCACACAGGAGGCTCATGCAAGTAGGATGATTTTCACATATGTTTTAGGGAAAACTGTGCATGTTTATGCTTTTCTAGCTCAAAATTATACTAGATACGTTAAAATACACCACTGCTGAGTCCCCTAAAGACTGGTGAGGGAATTAAGATTAGCTAGATATGAGACCACAAAAAGCCCAAATTTTACAAGTGTAATGAAGACAAAATTATTATTTTATGTTTGCATAAGAATAATTTCATTTCAGCCAACAAATCCTACTTTAGTTTTGAATGAGAAATGCCTTCACTTTTAGATAAAGTTTTATATAAAACTTGTATTCTAGTTCCAAATTCAGATGCAGTATTAATTCACTCTTCAGGAAAACCCTAAAACTTACCATGAAGCATAGACCTGTATTCATTGAAGTTATTTAGTACTAGATCAATAAATACATCCCTACCTGACAGCAGAAGAGCAACACACATTCTTCTCACAAGCTGAGAAGTACCACTAGCCAGAGGTGACCATGGTGATAAGAAACTGGACTGACCTCAGATTAGGTATTTATTTCCTTATGCTCTTCACCTGCAGACTCTCTCCTGTCCTTTCTGTTATGTGCTCTGCAGAGACATAAAGCCTGACTTAACCTATATCAGTACAGGTCCCCAGCACTATTGGTTTCCAAGTATTTTGTGACGTGACACAGGTCTTACTGCACCAAGTAACCGTGCTGTAGGTGTGAATCATGCTTCTGAGTCCAATACTGTTTTTTTACATTCAGCAGCTATGGTGAGCATCTCTTAAAGCAAACATCTTGCAATTTGTTTTACTAATGCACTTTAGCTAGCCATGAGGCAGCTGCCCAAACAGCTTAGAAGTCAGCTGTCTTCCTGAGCGATCAGAAAGGCAGTTAGGGATTCCTTCCTAAAGAAAATTAGGCACTGGGGTTTTTAAGAGGCATAAGGAGTAAGAGAAGAATGATGATTAGGTAAGAGCTGGCATTGAGAGATGTTTTGCCTGAGAGATGGAGCAGACACAGTAAAGGAACGTTACTTGGAAATATTTCTGTGTTTGGTTTCTGTTTTACCCTGATATTTGTGTATCAGACTCCTAACAAAAAGAAGAATCGTTCTGCAATAGAAGAATACTATTGCTTGTTATTCCATACGAAACTCTAACAAGTCTTGTGCCCCCATTTCATGTATGTTATATTAACAAAAAGAAGAATTCAGCTCTTCGTATGCCTACAGAGGTTTTTCTCTGATTAGTTTGCTGGCTGTTTTACCTTTCATTTGACTTTAGTCAGAACACCGGAGAGAAGTTCAGCACAGTTAAAGTGAGCTGCTGATTTAAGGAATTGATTCTATAGTATAGTTAACAGGCTATTTAAATATGGTCAGTGGGGAGTATTGCAACTATGTCATCTTATATATCTTCTCGGCATAAAGCAATATGTTATAGAATGACTGAACCAAGTTAAAGGGCTTTTTGAGAACATGCAGCTTGAAAGACTGGAAAAAAATGGGATTATAACACTTGATCTTCTGCACCATCTTGTGATGTTAGAAAAGGACTTTCAGTTCTGAGGGCTGGAAAACGTGTTTGGACTTTTGTACTTAAGCACTTATGTAAAATGTTGACAACGTCAGTGTTTTCTTTGGAAGAAAAAAGTAATCTGCATCTGGCCACCCATGATCTGTGAATTCCTTATCTGAAAGACTAAAAAAGACATCCAAAGAAGTGCAATCCCTGAAAAATCAGTCCTGACACTGATGTTTTCTCCTCAAAGGTTTGCTCTGAGAACTGTGTTCTGCTGGGTTCTCTGGAGAACTGCAGTGAGAAGTGTGCCTAAGTGGGTTTTTAGTTGGTGCATAGAAGTACCAAGCAGGCAGGGAAAGCTCTGAGGAAAGATGCACTGGAATCAAGATGTGTAATTCACCAACTTCTGCTTGGACTACAACTTTTCCAGCCAGACTCAAATTCTCCACAGTTTCTATTTAAAAAAAAAAAAAAATCAAAACTTAATTAAAGAAAGTAAAATGAGAGGCTTTTACAGTCGTGACCGAAGATATGAAAGTTCAATGTATCTTGTCTTTTTCTAATTTCTTCTCAATTTTGTTTCTCCAGGGTGACAAAGAAGCAGAACTAGGGCTTCCTTTCTCTCCACTGTGTGATCGCAAGTCTACTATGGTTGCTCAGTCTCAAATAGGTACGTCCCTTTTGGTGCATGCAAAGTAGCATCTTAAAAGCAAAACTTACTCCCCCCTGTGGGGCTAAGATCAAGGTGATCTCTCGTCATTTGGAACTGTGTTAAAGAGAGGAAATAAAGCACAGTGGCGTTATTTTCCCCAGACCAACAATTCAAAGCTTAACCAGGTTACCTCTGGTGTGTCTGCAGAGATAACTCCAGTGCCTGGTTATGACACTACTCCATGGTTTTCTGAGCTGTGAAGATGCGGTGCACACGGCAATGTGTTGTGATATGAATATCATTGGTGGATATGAAAATGTAATGTCAGTCCCATCAATGACCTGGGCAAAACCTATTTCCCTCCCAGTGCTTCAAGCCAACCAATATTGTTCACTGAAGCCAAGCAAATAGCAAACCTTTTTCTCGTCCACCCATTCAGACACAGAGCTCTTTTTACAAAGCTCTTCTTTCACTTTGACTCACCAACAGCACCTTCTCTACCTCTCCTCCAGTTATCAAGTGAAAAAGTAGGAGAAGGATGAGGTAACAAGCCTGGTATTTGGTGAGAAAACAAGGAGGGCTAAGTGAAGTAAAACTCTTCAGAAGCCTGGGAGCAAAAAAGGACAATGGAAAAGGTGGATTTTGGGGTGGATTTTTATACCTAGGAAGCAAGTGAAGTAGACAGAAGAACATGATCTAACCTCGACGGGAGAATAGGGTGCCAAATGGAATAACAAAACAAAGATAATACAAACCCTAAAAATGAGGGAACCAAGTCCAGAAGCAGAAAGAAAGAGAATGTATTAAAGGAAAACAAACAAAAAATTTGAAGTATGAAATTTCTCCAAAGAACAAGAAAAAGATATCCCTGAACCTAGGAAAGTTCAGATTCATATCTGAACCCCATCCCAGATTTTCTGGCTTTGGAAGTTTAGGCAGTTCAGCCAAGAATCTGAACTTGAACAGCCCTATGCAAGCCTGGCCTGGTTGCCAGACTTGTAGCGTTTGCTCTTCTGCAATGGTAACCCAGAAGAGTGGAAATGTGTGTAGAGCGCAGTGCAACTGCTGAGGACATTTGTGTTCTGCCAGCAGCTCAGTGGAGGGAAGCAGCAGCAAATTGAAGTGCTGCAGTCTCAGCTAAAACCCATGTTGAGGATTCCTGGGCTGACTACACCTGCTCTTGTGCTGTGGGAGAAGATAAACTCTCTCTCTCTCTAGCTGGTGTGGAGGGAAGCATGTATAGAGACTTCTCTTTCACATATGTCCCTCACTCCTTAGAGGGAAGAGGAGTTGTCCTTCCCACAGGGTCCCTCTACGTAGGGTTGTGTGTGCTTGGAAACCAATTTTCCTTGTCCTCCTCTTTTGTGTTTCTTTGCTCAGAAAGGCCAGGAGAGCCAAGAGACTTCTGCACTGATGCCCCTTGTGTCAAGCCACTGCAAAATTAATGATGAATTAAACCATCACCAACACAATTAAACCTTATAAAAGAGGCACTCATTAGTATGCAAATGCAGGCTTATTTAGTCATATACTATTTGTCATTATATTCGATTTGTGCAGTTAAGTAATCCATTGACATTAGTAGGCTACTCTCTATAAATTTTGCCTTCTAACATTATAAAATTTTCATTTCTCAGTCTGCTGCACATACTGGCAGTGTCTTTCTGTAACGTCTCCTTTGTTAAATCAAAAGCTCTTATATTTTCTGGCTATCTGCTGAGGTAACGCTTTCAAAGATGTAGGCTAGATTCTCAGACAAATAATCTGTTCCCATTCATTTATTTACCTGATTAATAGCCTTAGCAAATTGTTCCCTGGAATAGTAATTACTACATTTCTTTGCAAAAGTAAGTTCTTACTGAATTCCAAATTGTGCTATTATCTGCAGCAAGCAGCCATCAGTTCCCACAAATAAAAAACCTCTGTCCTTTGTGAAATAAAATTGTGCTCTTGGTTCTGCCAGGGACAGAGCCTAGAAATCCTGTTCTGGTGGCTCGACTTGTTTGCAGTTGCTGGTTCGCTGCTCTAAGGTCACTGCAGATGCAACAACAGTGAGCAAGCATTTTTATTAACAAAAGTTTTTCACAAATGCAGACTGAAGGTTTTGCAGTATGGACTTTGTCCATGGAAGTGAAGCAATCTAACAGCAAAAACTTCCTCAAAAGAAAGAATGTCTCTCCTGTTGCTTCAGTTTGTGAAGAAATTGTTCAGAGTTTAAATTGATAATTAAAAAAACCTGACCAACAAATAATGAACCTGGGTTTTAAAACCTATTAATGTTAATGCTAATGACCATTTATCATCCTTTTTCTTATTCAGTCAAATGAGTGTGGTAAATATTTCTGTACGACAGTGAAGTACAGAAATTAGGAGAGATTCATGTCCAGAAGTCAGGCTGCTTATCAGAGTAGGGGAGACAAACAAACTGCAAAGAAAACCAGGTCAAGAATTGTGTTTCCCAACAAGAGTATGAGGAGTTAAAGCTTCTCTGTCTGTCTCAGACTGTAGGAAGCTTGTTTCACTGGAGATCAGCCTTTGTTGTCATTGTCTTCTTTTGCAGCTGATAAATGTAGCAGCATCCTTTTATTTTTGTCCTTTGGCTGGCAAGAAATAAAATTACAGCTTCAGAAAATGTTGGATAAAGGCTGATGGGTGCATGCTGATGATTCTTTTTTCTTTTTTCGTTTTTTTTTTTTGTGTGTGTGGTGGGCTTTAGGGAAACTCTCCTCTAGCCAATGTTTGCTGCGGTGATGTTCTCAGATGGAATGAATGAACACTAGGCACATGCCTGGAATCCATCCTCAGCATGCAGTGTTAATTGGTAAAATCATCTTAGTCACTGGGATACAGAAATATTTACCGCGCTCGTTCTATTGAAGAAGAAAAAGGGTGATAAAATGGTCATTAGCATTAATAGGCTTTAAAACCCAGGTTCATGGTTTGATATTCGGGGTTTTTAATTAGCAAACTAAATCACCATATTTAAATCACAGTGTCTTTAGGTTAGAAGAGAGAGAACACAGGGGCAGGGAGGCACTTGGGGATATGGCATAAGTTACATAATTATTACTGAAGTCCTAAGTTTTGTTTCTACAATAGCTGATTAAGTTTCCCAACTTTATTATAATCCCCATTTTAAGGTAACATAGTTGAATTACTTACTCATGTTATAGGGAATAGAGGAAAAAATACCACTTATCAAAGAAAAGTTATCCTAGGTCTTTGAGTTTGTTTACCTGTCGTCCCTTGTGCCACCTCTGCCTGCCTTTGTTGATGAGATGCAAGAATTCTCCCAGGGAAAACTTGTTTTTTAGATGCTTACAAGTGGACCTTGTGTTTATGTGCAAATGTTGATTATCTCAGGAAGCGGATCCCGCCACCCCGTTAGTGACACAGTCATGCATCTGATAGCAGAGATTTGCATATCTCAGGATTGTTTGTGGTGATGGAGCAAATGGCAGTAGTATTACTTGCTGTGTTGGTTTTGGCTGGGGTAGAGTTAATTTTCTGCATAGTAGCTAGTATGGGGCTATGTTTTGGATTCGTGCTGAAAACAGTGTTGATAATATGTTTTAGTTATTGCTGAGCAGTGCTCGCACAGCATCAAGGCTTTCTGCTCCTCATACTGCCCCGCCAGTGAGTAGGCTGGGGGTGCACAAGAAGCTGGGAGGGGACACAGCTGGGACAGCTGACCCCAACTGACCAAAGGGGTATTCCATACCATATGACGTCATGCTCAGCAATAAAACTAGGGGGAAGGTTGGCAGCGGGCTGCTGCTTGGGGACTGGCTGAGCGTTGGTTGGTGGTGAGCAATTGTTTTCATTTGCATCACTTGTCTTTCTTGGGTTTTATTTCTCTTCCTCTGTTATTTTTGCTTTCATTACAATTTTTTTAAAAATTGTATTTCAATTATTAAACTGTTCTTATCTCAACCCACAAGTTTTCTCACTTTTACGCTCCCAATTCTCTTCCCCTCATCCCACTGTGGGGGGGGAGTGACCGAGCAGCTGTGTGGTGCTTAGTTGCGGGCTGGGGTTAAACCACAACCATCCTCTTTGGCACCCAACGTGAGGCACAAAGGGTTTGAGATAATAACAGATTGACCAGAACATATTAGAAGGGATTTATATCTGTTAATAGTTGCAGGTCACAACATTGATTCATCTGTTCTCAATATTAGTTTATCTGATCTGCACCATGCTCGTTTTTCTGCTGTACATGTTAAAGACTGGTGTTGGATTTTGTAGTTTGCTGTGCTCCGTAGTGGTTAGTGATGTTTTACCTGGGAGATTTGTTATTAAAACACTGGCCTTGACCTTAGTCTGGTGTTTGGGCTCTATACTGAAGCCATTACTGTACTCTGGGTACCATCTCATGGAGGCAATTAACAATTATACTTCTTCCTCAGAGAGGTTTTTTGTGGAGGAAATACAGAATGGCACCTTCGCTACCTTCTTCTGTGATGTTTTCTCCCTCGTTACAATAACTTCTCAGTATCTGGAACATCCTTGGGTAGTTAAAATACTTCTATTGGTATTTCTTAGGAATATTGCTTCAATTTTGTCTAAGGTTAACAAGCAATTTGGGAACATGACCCAGGCTCCGTGAGAGTATGGTCACGGGTGGCACGGCACGTGGGAGAATATGGGCAGGTATCTAGAGAACTTCTCACCTCCAGTGGTCTGGAACTTCACTCCCGAGCAACTACAGGATCCTGATGAAGTGATAGAGTGCTTGAGAAAAAACCGCCATGGCTATTCCAAAGAGGCACAACTTACCACACTGTGCTGGGCCCTGGCCAGCAGCTACCAAACACTGCTTGATATTATGCAGCACCCTCAGGGAGAAGAGAGGGAAAACATACCAACAGACACTATGGCTAAAACGGACACTATATCAGTTGCCCCTATAACTGAAAAGAAACAATGGAAGTGGAAGTCAGCTTGTTTAGTAAGGGGTGAGGAAGCTTCTCCTAAGAGGGAGTAAGAGAAAGACACAGAAGAGGCAGCCTGTTCTGCAGCAGAGCAGTCACAAGAACAGGAGGAGGAAGAGACTGAAATCATAAATGAGACAGAAACCACCCGATCTCTATCCCTAAGTAAGCTGTGAGATATGCGCAAAGATTTTAGCTGTCAACCAGGTGAGCTAATTCTCAGCTGGTTACTCCAATGCTGGGATATTGGGGCCAGTAATCAGGAATTAGAGGGTAAGGAAGCCCAGCAGCTAGGATCGCTTGCTAAGGACAAGACCGTTGACAAAGGGATTGGAAAAAAGGCAGGAGTCCTCAGTCTTTGGTGGTGACTCCTGTCAAGTGGGGTTAAACCACAACACTTGCCAAGCAGAAGTGAAAAGGTACCATGGCTTGGGTTTCTTTGCTCATTAAGAGGTAAACATTTTTTTGAGTGAAGGGGAATAAAAGAGACATATAGACAGGCAGACACACACATATGTAAATCAAATTCTCATTATCCTCAGGATTCCTGTGGCACACTTAACACTGTTCTCAGCCAGTACAATTTCCAGTGTTTTAAAAAATTGTATGAAGTTTGCTGGAATTATCTGGGTTGTGATCTAGCACACAATTTCCTGTCGTGGCTTTATACTGCATACATTTCTGATTAACTCCCTGGGAGGAAGGGAGTTCTTTTTTCCCTAAATTTGAATAGATAAGACTGTCTCAGTGTTATGGAGGCACATGATTCAGATGTTCAGATAAGACTGAATGCATATTTTCTCCAGATTTACAGAATGTTAGTATGAAATTCTGAGAACTTGCAAGTAACGTTTTTAATTTGGCTAGGCATGAAAATGCACTTAATTACCCAGAAATTTAGCAAAAATCAGGGAAGGGAAATGGAACTAGAAGGATGCTCAACTGCTTTGCACTCAAGAAGTGGATCAAAGCATCTGTGAATTCAGGTGCCTGGCCCATGTGGTCCCTTCTTTTATTTTTCTGTTATCATCTAGAATTGCTAGGGTCTGTCACAGAAACCTATCAGTCAGAGAAATGATAATATTATGAATGTATAATTAATAGTTGATAATTACCAAATCTTTAAAAATTGTAACAGTAGGGAAATCGCAATGTGCCTTAGGAGGGATTAAGGACATCATTTTCTTGGCTACCTGCAGGACTAAGAAATTTGCTAAGTGAAGTGCGAAAATGAACATAAGAAATAGCCTCTGCCCCAGGTGAGAATTTAGGGGAAGGTGTAAGGCACTGTAAGCTCCTCACTCTCACGTTTTTTCTGTGCAACTTGGATTTTTCTTCATCTCATAAGCTTATGGCCACAGAGCCCTTCAGTCTGCCCTTCCCAAACATTCAGATCAGAGCTGTATTCATCTCTGCCAAACTGTATACTGAAGTAGAAATTATTTGGCCCTTTATTTTTTTCCTTTCCTTATATTAAAAAATGGGGGGGAAAGCGTCTAAATCTGTTTTATTATCAACAAGAACAAGCTGGCCAAGCACTGAGGAGAGAATATTCACAGCAATCCACTGATACGCAGTAAGGGAGGTTTGCATGTAACTCCACACCAGCAGAGCTTACCAGTATTATTACTGTTATATTAATTTTCTGCTTTTAGAGGGTTCATCTTTGAAACTGGGTTTTATCCAAATCCGCTAGGAATTTGGCTTAAATATCATGCTCCTCATATAAAAAAACTTTTGATGCATCTGTTTATGTTCTGATTTGCCATGGTTTCTTTCCAGTGTTTAAGTAGGTACCTTTTATTGCATGCTATATCCAAGCTCTCGGGTCAGGGATTAATGTATAACTCCGTTTTCCCTTTCTAGTATTTGCCTATCCCTCTTTCAAGGTATAATTTTTTTTACTCTGTCTTTTACAGAGTAATTGTTTGCGATTACTGAAGCAGTGACTCCACATAAATCCTCCTCCTGCCTGCTTGACTCTGCTTGTGTTTCTGCTCAGGTTTCATCGATTTCATTGTGGAACCCACTTTTACTGTGCTGACCGACATGACCGAGAAGATCGTGACTCCGCTCATCGATGAAGCTTCCCGCTCTGGCATGTCCGGGTTCAGGCGTTCCAGGTGAATAACCATGCACCCTCTCCCTTCACTCTGCCCGTGCTGCCATTGTGCCCAACTCCCCCGGTTTCCCTCCCACAGCATATGTCTTCCATGTGGCTTAAAGCTCCATATCTGCATTATTGACACTGCAGCTCACCTTGTGACATGACTGTGTTGCAGGGAAGCTCTAGCCCAGGGCAGGGCAAAATGCTGGCATGAACCTGAGCCATGCCTCCACAGGCAGTGAGCACAAATGGTTGTAGCCAGGTGAACTTTAGTGCTCTCTGTCACTAATGTCAAAGAGAAGGTAGAGGCTGTCATTGGGAGGCACTCATTTCTTCATGTCTAGAAGTATAAATGGGATCGAAATACAAAAGAGGATTGGGAAGTATAAGCACACTTTAGTGACAGTATTTGGGGTTACAAATGTGTGAAGTACCACCAGAATTCACCTGGAGTTTGGGTGTAAGGAGTCTTGACCCATTCAACCTGCTCTGCTGTTGTAGAGAAATTACTCTTTTAATAGTTTCACGGACAGGGCATGCCTTGGGATTCAAATCCCACGTGGCTAGTGCTCCCTAGAGCAGGGCTACCAAGGTAGGATTCCCTTTCCCAAGTGACTTCTTTACTCTTGGACTGTTACACAAAGAGCAAGCACTAATATCTTTCTGTGTCAGTTATCTAGCTGCCCTTATTAAAATGTGCACAATGAAGTGTCCATCCTTGAAAGACAACTGTAGGGTCTGTAACTGAAATGAGTGCCTGATTTTCAGCCTAGGGAGTGAAGATGCACAGCAAAGGTAATGGCAACACTGAGTGATTCTGTTTCTTAGGGACTATGGATACCAAAAAATAAGCAGGGAAAAGCTGTCCTTTATTTCTAATACTGGCTCAAGTTGTGCTGTTTGCTTTAACATAGGTTGCCCTGGGGTGGGAGAGAGGGAGGGGAGGATGAAGAATTCAAGCTTAGTTTTTGTTTTTCTTGGTTGACTCTGTTAAGTTATCTAGACTTACAGTCATTATTTCTTCTTAGCTGTATTTGGGTGTATGGGATACTGATTTCTTCTGTGCTTTGTGATCTTGTGTCCTAGTCTGAATAGCATTAGTCCCTCCGAAGTTAAAAGATCAAGTGTCAAGAGCACTGGGTCCGAAGGAAGTGCCTCACTCAACTGCTCCATACTCACTGTGGACTTCAAATGTTTTAAAGCCACCTGGACTGAGGTGGTGCAGCAGAACCGGGAGAAATGGAAAGCGCAAGCCACCAAAGGTAACAGCCAGGCTTGTTAGTGAAAGAATAAAAATTCTTTTGACCTCTTCTTCAAGCTCTTCTTCAATCAAATTATTCTCCAAGTAAGCACTATTAGTTTGAAAGAATCTGCTTTTCAAGGTCAACAACCTACACTGAATTCAGAAAGACGGGAATATTGTGACTCATCTGTGCCTTATACTCTTCTTACATGGTGTAGTGTACATAATGAAGAGGATGTGGACAATGGGAGGAAAAAAAAAATAATTGTAAGGGAGGTCCCCTAAAGGCATGAGTGAGACTCAGGGTGGGTGCAAAAATAGCTGGAACAGCATTTGTAGAGATAGGTTATCAATTGTTCACTGTTAAGATTGAGAGAGGTATGGATGATAGTTCAGGGGAGAAGGACAGGATATTCTGGATCAAAGCTGGTTTCATATTTCTAGTGATGACTTGGATAATGAATTGGGAACTATGCTGCAAGTGCTCATGATGTCATCAACCTGGGAGGGACTGCAAATATTTCAGAAGAATATGAGGGCTGTGTTGGTTGCAAGTTGACCAGGGTTCAATATTGTCATGTTATTGCAAAAAAAACCCAAACCCAAACCAACAACAACAAAAAAACAGACCTTGCTTCTAAGACCCCTCTGGCATTCTTGCTGCTCTTTCCAGGCAGTAATAGGGCCCCCACAGCAGTGCTGTGTCCAGTTTTGGCCACTGCAGTTCAGGAAACTTATGGACCAGTTGCAGACAATACAGAGTACAGCAATGCGAATGATGGTAACTGTTGTTTATAGCTGAGAAGGTTTGTAGCTGAAAGCTTCTGAAGACTACTGCAGCTGCAAAATAAGGGAACTGGTTTTTTTATTCAAATACCCCGGGCTGTTAAGAGGAGAAAAAATTGGCAGGTGATTATAACCTGATAATAGGTTAGACGTTGGTAAATCTCTATTGTTGGAGATATTTTGGAACTAATGAGAACCATCTGTTGAGAATGGCTTAGGTATAACTGCCCCTTGCCTCCCAGGGACTGGATGATTGTCCAAGGTCTCCATGAGCCCTGGGGTGATTTAGACCAGCTTTGGAACCAAACCAGGAGGAATGTATCACTGTTGGTTTTTTTTTTTCCTCATGAAACTGTTTGTGATACAATTTCTTCTCTGAGCTGAATGCTTGTTACTCAAGCCCTTCTTTAATGGAGTTGTTGTATTTCATGTAAATGGAAGGAGTTCAGTTTTAATGTATTATGTGGCCTTGGCTTCAGGGCTGATGGAAAATTTGGCATAGTTCTCCTATTTGCCGGAGCAGATTGTTCTTCTCCAACTGAAAGGCCTGTCTAAAGGTGCAGGAAAGCACGCGTTATTATTCAAATTACATTTTCCTTTGTGATTAAAACTTGCCATTCAGGAAAAGCCTTTCTAGGCATTCCATGAGAATGAAAACAAAAACATAATTCAAAATCTGCTTGTTTTCCAGGGGCTTTTTTTAGCTTTTTCTTTTTTTTAATTAGTATTTACTATTTCACAGTTCTTTGTGGACCAAACAAATTAAAGCTAACCAACCAAGCAAAGAATTTAACATGGTCAGTGTCTCACAGTATAAGAGTGTTGAGTGAATGAAGTCAATACAGTTAACTAGTTTTAAGGATTTCATTTCAACATGTACCATACACATTTGCTTGTCTACTAAGGATCTACTAGATAAAAGTCCTATATGCAAGAGAGACCTGTGGGGAAATAAATAAAACATATCTTACATTTCACCTATAACAAATATATAGAGTAGATCATAATAGATTCTGTCTGTTTAGCTTTTAAATGTGCTTTGTACCCACTTGCAGTGACTGCTTTGCATAAAGACTTTTTTTCTAAATGTGCACATGTAAATGTCAAGTTATGATTCAAGTGGATGTGCACACGTTGCTTAACTAATGCTGCTACTGGCAATATGTATTGATGCAGTATTTCATATCCATTCTTTACAGAGTATCCTGACGATAAGTGTTTGGTTATTAATACTTTAGCTGGAGAGGAGAATGTTTTATTTTTAATTGCCTCATAAAAAAATCCTTCTAGCAGCTCCTGAGGGTAGTCTGTGGAAGAATTGGTTGATCACTTGAAAGCAAAGAGCTCACCAATCTGCATTATTAGACATGGGAGCCCTTGAGTAGGTCATTTTATCTTTACCTTTCTGACAACCTTTAGCCCTGAATAGTTGATTGACTTTATGTTTTTGCCAAACTTCATTGCCAATAACTTGGATCAGGGCCCTGGTTTATGGGTCAAAGATTCAGAAAGCAGTCTCAGCTTCTGTTCATCTGAATTCATTAACTTTCACATAATTTCTGTGTTTAGCAGTACAAGCATGCATATTTTTTTATCCTGAAAGATTTATACAAACCTATGGCTCAGCATACCTTTGTACGGGCTGGTGACTAAGGAACTGTTCTTGGACTCCAGAGCCCTCGCATCAAAACCTTTGCTCCGCTGCTGTCTTGCTCCTGACTTGCAGCAGGGCTCTGCACCCCTCTCCATCTGCCTTGCCTGTCTTAGCCATATGCAGCAGGGCCTGCCACGCAGCAGGGGTTTAAATTGCTGACCCCTGTCAAACCGGTGTCTTGCAATGCATCAAGATGCTCTGCCAATAAAAATAAGAATTATTAAGAGAAGACAGATAAATCGTTTAACTGTTGATTGACAACAAATAGCAACTGGGGATCAGAAGGGAAGGAAACCCATCTATTATTACTACTATTACTATGATTATTATTAAATGATTTGTAGAATACTGTATTCCCTTTTGTAATGGCGTTGTCCCTAGAAGCATCAGTGAGCTGGTTTTATACTGAGTGTGGTATTTATAGAAAATTTCTCGGACTGTGTGGGCAACGTAGGTAGGTTTATTACAGATCTCTTTTTGCTTAAAGGATCATCTTTAAATAGCTATAAATTAAAAAAGGAGTAAACTAATACCCTGATGTGCAAAGCACCATTTAGGTGAAGTATTTTCTGACACTAATTTTGACAAGAGGCACTCGTCCAACAGTGCTGTAGCAAGCCCCAGTCTCCTGAGCCAAATCTCTCTCCTGTGGTTCAGGTGCAAAATACAGCACTTTTTTTTCAAGTCCTCAAATGAGAGGAATCCTTCTGTATACCGTGAGACTCCAGGGAAAATATCAACATGCATAGCTGAGCTATCTATGGAAGCTACCATAGATTTCAGGAATGACTAATAAAGTGAGGGAGGCTCATATCTAATTTAATTATATTTTTCTGTGAGCCATAATTTATTCATTTATAAATTAATTAACTTTAGTTAGCTGCTGGCAAGGAAATATAGATTGGCATTTCTTATAAACAGCTTTCCCCCTTTCTCTTTTGTATCCCACCAGTACATTTTTCTCAACACTGGTTCTGATTCGCTCATAAGAAGTATTTGACAAGACACTTAGAAATTCCTTTGTAATTTTTACTCACTGGCCAAGACCGTGCTCCTTTAAGGAACAAAACATCTTCCCTGTAGGTATCAAAATGCTTCTGTAGGACCAAGGTAGACTTTATTCAGTGTTTTGTAGGAACTGTTTGTCTGCTCATCAGCTTCACAGTGTCTCAGAAACCAGGAGCTACATCTATTTGTGATTCCTATCACAATTAAAGTGCAATTGGTTGTCCATGATGGGGTGATGGGTAGGCCGGGATATTGCAGACCCAGAAATCTTGAATAATAGGCATAGGGCGGTCACATCTGAATGCTTAGACTCAGTATGGATATAGATAGGCTCTGAAGCTGTGTAAACCTTACAGGTTCCAAATTGGGTGTGTGTTGAGCTACTCAGTTGCTTTTGCAGATTAATTCTCTATTGATCATGGAAAAGGGGGAGAAAATCGTGGAGTCTCTGCCCAGAGTCTATGCGCATTGTTAGTTCGAGGACTGCGCTGAAGGACTGTGGTTGTGTCTTGCTTTCCAGTGTGACACAGGAAGCCACACAGAGCCTTTGCATCTGAGTCTGGGGGGGTGTGCTGTACCGACCTGGGCTAGAAATGTAGTGGTCTCAACACCTGGAGCCACAGTCATTTGCAACTTATGTTATAAGTAAGTGTTGCATCATGACTCAAAGTCTGGATAAGAACAAGAGCAGCATCTTGAATGGGGGAAATTGGCTTCTCTGTGAATTTCTTTTTTTTTTTTCTGAATGACAATATTTTGAGATGCTGCTGTTGCTCAGCACTCACTTTTGAATTTATACCTTTGCATATTTGTGATTGACTGCAAGACTTTTTGGCATGGAAGGGCAAGCACTAGTAGCAATATATTAGTATGCCAAGGAAGGGCAGAGCCATAAAGAAAGGATAACAGTAAGTGGAAGGGAAGAGATTAGGAAGCTGGCATTGGAAGCAGCCTGGAACAAGAGGGAAAAAAAGTAGATATCAAAGAATCAAGACTTTTATGTGCTTAGAGTTATGTGGTATGGTATGAGATAAACTGAATGTTGTTTGACTGATTGTTGTGTGTCAGAAATGAAACTAACCTTGGCACCCCTAGAGCCTTCAATAGCTAATATCTCTTTTTAATTTGCCTTTTAAGAATTTTGAGGAACTGCATTTTCAAAGGTGAACTTTATAGGGTAAAAAAAGGACATGCACATAATATAGATTTAGGCCAACATGGGGTGTTTTTTTCAGAATACTTTCTTAAATGTTCTCCTATGCTCTTTTTCCCTTGTCAAGTCAATTCCTACATTTATCTAAGTAAAAGCTGTTTGCATGTAAAAAGCTGAAGTAGATTTAGATGTGTGAGTTGTATCATTCTTGTCAAATTGACTGATAATCGTGATTTCTTTCCTTGTTTTGCTTCTCTCTTTGCTGAGGATGCAGAAGAAAAAGCTAAGAAAGAAGCAGAGGAAGATGCTCATCAGGGAACAGATGAAAAGAAAACAGATGAAAAAGATGAGAAGAAGCCAGCTGAAGATGCCACAGCAGCAAAGACAGAGAACAGCAAAGAACCAAATCCTGGGGAAAACAAAAGCACAGATTCCAATAAGAATCATGTAAATGGGACTCGGCAAACTGGGGTGAACAAACACGAAGCCTCTCAAGGGAAAAACGCACCTAGGACAGATAAAGGAACAGAATCTCATCATGCAGTGGGAGAAGAGAAACAGCATGTCCAGAATGGTGAGTTCTCTCCTTCCACTGAAACATGAATCCAGCCCTAAACCCAGTATCTCACCTGAGTGATGGGGGCACCTGATGTCCTGAAAAAGGATGTCCTGGGCCCAGAGCCTCTTCTTGGACATTGGCATAGTCATCTGCATATGGGAATTGGAATCTGTGAATTAACTCCCAAGTAGTGTTCTTCCATAAAAGATTGGGTTCATCATACCTGCTTGGGCGCTTTTGGAGGAAAGGAAAAAATCACAGCAGCCTGTTATGATACAGACTTAAAAGCTGAAACAAGTATTCTTGGTTCAATGAACAGCTTCATTGCTTGGGTAACCGACAGAGGAGAACCTAAAGTTGGCTTATAAACTCTTCTTAAGGCCAATTAAAGGTATCTTTGAACTGAATCTCAAATATAAATATGTTTTGGGACAGAGGATTTTTCCCCCTCTCTGTTTCTAAGAGTTATTTTGTTTATGCTGCCGTTGCTCAGTTTTTTTATTAGGGCAGTCACAAACCTTTTTTTGGAGATCTTTTTTTGTCAGAAATTTTATTCCAGTGTTTTAACTTGCTGTAGAACTGAGTTAAAATAAGAATCACATTCTGCACCCAAAAAAGGTGGAAAAATGTTCAAAAATTGCATTGAACATCAAAATAAAATTATTAGACCCATGAGAACAGATCAGTGGTCCCTTGGCCATTTCACTGTCTTTCTCTCCCCAGCTCCTGCTCCTGAAGCAGTTATCAAAAAATGACAGCACAGCCACACGTGACTTGGCACAAACTTGGCTAGTATCAGCCAGTTCAAAACCAGCAAAAAACTCAGACTCAGAAGCATCCTCTTAGAAAAATCCTGAGTGAGCATACAGGCCTTGAAAGTCCCACACTCAGGCAGTGAGTTTAGATGGCAGCAGCGGCAGAAATTCTGTTTAAAACATTCCTAATATGATTCTTATGTATTTGATGTGGCTGCTGGCCATTCCCAGTGATCCATTCATCTTTAGCTTTTTTTTGGATTGGAAGGACTATGGGGATCCGAGCCATCATGCTCTGTTACTTATGGGATTTTTCTTCACACGGTGTTACGTGGGTGAACAGGAATGGGCCCCCCAAGGAGACAAAAAGATTGTGGACATATGAAATTCCAGTTAGACTGCATCAGACACTTCTTCTGAAACCCTTTGTTTTACATGCTTCTAACAATATGGGGGTTAAGTGTACTCTAGTGATTTTGACAGTACCTTTTTCTGCAACGTCTCTCTGCTGCAGGTGTCAAAAATGCTTTGAAAGGAATTATAATGATTTCTGAAAATTAGTGTCTTCCTCAGGAAAAGCAGTTCTGCTCCTTAATTTATGGGAAAAGGCCTTTATGAGGTACAATCACTGCAGAGTCTTTGGAGACTGATGAAATCTTAACATTCATATCTGTGGGTTCACCACATCTTCCTTTACACCTCTATGTTAATATCTCATCATGAAGTATTTGCTTTATTATTTCACTGCCTTTGTAATCCCTTTGAAAAAGATCATTATGATCACCGTTCTGCTCTGCTGCTGGCAGTATGGCAGGGTAGATATTACAACGCTCAAAAGCCCCTATTCATAATAAGTTATATTCAATGAAAGTTCAGAAATCGTGTTGTCAGATGAGTTTGAAGTCTCCCTCAGTCACTCGCTGCCCGTGTACTTTCTCAGAGAGATCAAACTGTGTAATAACGTGTGTGGGGGTGTTCATCATCTTTTCCTGCATGCGTTTAGGGTCAAGCAACTTCTTTATGCCATGGTCAAATAAAGCATTATTAGGTCATCATTACCATCAGCCATATGATGGTGGAGGAAATGCGAGAAGACTTTTGTGCTTTGCTGGATATATTTTAATTTCATTTCCTGAAGACAGTGTCCTTCTTTTAGAGGCCACCTTCGTCAAGCAGACACCTCAACCATGCTTGGAGCTGCTTATACCTCTCTGTTCAAGGAACCCAAGACAGTGGCGGTATGATCAGCTGAGGAGGTTGCTGCTTGTGCTGTATCATCTTGCTTTCATTTTTCTCTCACCCACACAGTGAGCTTAGGAAGAAAAACATGAAAAGTTTTGGCTCTGAATGAGAGCTGAACAGGACATGTTTTTTCCATCTTGTTAAATATTTTAAGATTTGAAAACCATTCCTCTTTTATACTCTGATGAAACTTAATTGGAGAGAGAGATCAATCCTCTGTCATCCAAGAATAACAAATGTTCTAGTGGTTAGGGCATGATGTGGAAGAGGGAGACTTTGCTTCTCTACAATTTCTCTTTTTTTGAGCTGTTCCAAAAATAAGTATCCACTGGCCACGATTATTTTGAAGGCAGATCAGATCCTCTTTAACACATAATACCTATAATCTTGATCCAGAGGCTGTGAAGTTGTTATAGTAACAAAAATAGTAATACAAATGGAATAAACATTACTTTAATACAGCCCTCTAACATCCCTCACATTTACAAAATTCTGAACTGAGACTTTTACAGCTTTTTCTGTTGAGGTGTAGGTCACAAATTCATTGCTACTCCTCTCGGGTGAAGGGACAAGCTGCCTGCTCCCATCTGGGCAGGCTGCTGTTGCTTCTCTGGACATCTGAAGGAAGGACACCTTCTTTGATACTGCTTGGACACTGCAGCTGAAAGAACCCTGTTCTGCTAGAGCTCTCTCTAGAAGTTATTTTTCATTTGATCTTGCATTTGGCATTCTCGTTCAATGAAGGGATGAGCTGGGAAGGTCTGATGTACTCTGGTGTATGATTAATAAGGGACAGAAAATGGGAATAACCTTCCTGGCTTCCTAAAATACACCCTGGCTCAAGTTGCCATTTTCATTCTGCATCAACCATTGCTCTGCCAAAGGCATTGCTTTCCTGGTTTGCTATAGCGACTCTCAAGCCACTGATCAATGCTAGGATGACTGTTTGTTCCCTGATACTGTCATAAAAGGACCAACCCAAATGACTCTGTGGATAAAGGAAACTGGTAAGAAAAAGTACGACAAAATTATATAGAACTGTTTGGGGTATCTATGGTGGTTCTTCAGTGCAGAAGCTTATGAAGTCTTGCAGGGTCTTAGTCCTTTAAAAGCGTAAATGTTTCAGAGTCCTGATTTTGAAATGAAGGTTGTGCTCAGATTTTTAATGGCCTACATACAACCAGAGGGAGTATGAGTTTACACGTGGACTTAAAAAGGTGTTAACAGTTATAATAAATTTAAAAGTAGATTGTAAAGGTTGATTTTCTGTAGGACTTGGATAAATTTTGTCTGGTGCTATATTCTATGAAAATGTGTTAATCCAGTTACTTGTGAATTCAGACCTTTTCTCCTAAGGAACATCTCCTTTGGATGTTGCAATTTGATGGAGTTACAGGCATTAATAAACCCCAGTGTGCATTAAAATGCTTATAGTGTTTCTTATTGCTTCTTTCTAGGTGAATTAAAGGAAGACAATAAGTTGGACAAAAAAGATCAGTCTAGTGTGGAGGATGAATCAAAGAAAACAGATGGTAAGGACATTTTATTACATTTTGCCACCCATTTTTATATGCAATCTATTGTTTCCTAAACATCCGCAGTTTATTCTAAACTGAAAAATTGTCTGGTAACCAGAAATAGACTTAACAGATACAGTCATTAGACTTGATGAAAGGCATTGGGGCATTCTGGGGGAAAATCATCCCTTTCACATAATGCCTAGCACCACCTAGTTGTTCTGTTGGTAAGCCTTATCCATCAATTTTTGTGCAGTGCCTGCAAGAAAAATCCTGGATTATTAGAGTTGCTTAATAAGAAATGCAGATTTGTGAGGTTCTATCCTTCTGACTTTCTTTGGGCCGTACTCTGCTCTCTGTTAGGATAGGCTGCATGGGAGATGCAAAAAACAGAGCTAAGAAAAAACCTGCACGAGGTGTCCCTGTTTTTCATGATTGCATGTTATACTATGCCAATACAAACACAAAGCTTTCTTGACTTAATTGTCTGAGGGGTAATCTGCCAAGTGCTGTCAAATCACAGGTGTTTGAAGCAAGCAGGAGTAAGCACATCAGTGTAGAGGTCCTATTAAGGATGCTATAAAAAAGGAATGTTGCTGAAACATTATTGAACTGAAGCAATCCCAAGCCATAGGATGGTTTCTTGGGCATCTGGGAATAATTTCGAATGAGTCTGAGCCTAGTGTAGAGGTTCATAGATGTTTTAGTAGCCTCAGCAAAGTGGAAAAACAGCTGTAAAGTATGTTTACTCTTTTGCACCTCCTCAGCTGTGTACCACAGGGCTCTGAGATAGTATCTGAACCCACGTTGCTCCAAAAGAGATTGCTAAAGTGTTAGGTAGCAAAATGAATGGAAACAAATGTTAGAGCTAATGTTTTCTTTGTGTATGTCTCAGTGAAATCCACTGAAATACAGGCATTCCTAAATGTAAATAATACAGTACTTTGTTTTGATGGTCGAGAAAGACAACCTCATAGTAAGTACTGCAGTTTAGAATGATACTATGTTTTCTTGTATTGCTTCCTTGTAAGAAATTACTTTAAATTCCTATTGCTCTAGCAAAGTGATAAATAAGAAGGAAATGTGATAACTCAACTAAAAATGTAGAAAAATTCATCTAGAATCATGTATTAATTTCAAACACATAAATATGTAGTTTTTTTTAAAGAGGCCCCTTAGCAAAACTTGTTTAGGAAAATTCAATTATTTTGTTAAGACGTCATATTATTTACACACTTGAGTTAAGTGTTTGTCAGGAAAACAATCTTGAACAAGCACCACTCACAACCCTTTCTGCGGTCATGCAGCAATTAAGCACAAATACTCAAATAACATGCGACTCTTCAGATGTTCATGCATATGTGCAGTGGCGTATGTAACTATCAAGGCCGCAGAAGAATGAATGGGCAGAATGGCTACTCTCCCCACTGCAGTGGGTGATGGCTGAGGACTGGCTGTGCTGGAAGGCTGCAGCCCTGGCAGGACCAGGCGGATGCAAAAGACTGGGGCTTCTTCAGAAGGACTCAGGATCATCAGCCCAGCCAAGAGAGTAGACCTGGGAATCCCTAACTTTGGGGACCAGGTTACATTTGAAGGCCTGCACTCTCAAGGTCTCAGAAAGATTAGGGGCACCTATTTAGTTGGGCTGGAGGACCAAGGAGTGAATGTTTCATGCTGACTTGAAGAGTGAGGGTGTGAATTTAGTTCCTTGCAAGTTGCCCGTCTTTGTGTGGTGTTAGTTATTTAATGCCTGTTTGTTCTCCTGTAAGAAAATGTTCTGCTTATCCCCTTAGGGAAAAGACCAATACCATGCGACCAGTTGATTACAGTGAATAAGCAACTGTTACCATGCAAGGTCAATTTGTAGGCTGAATGTTTTTCATTGAGACGCTGTAGAGGCAGATTATAGCTAACGATCTCATTGATAGAAATCAGGAGAAAAATTGTGAATGATGCACCTTAGAAAGGAAAGTGCTAGGGTGGTGCTTCTCTTTTGACAAATACTGCGCAACCTGTTCTGTCCATTACTCACTCCAGAGCAAATCTCCTTACCAGCCATGTGAGGGATGTGAAGAAAGGAACATTATTCATGGATAATACATAGCTGTTTGGAGACTACTGAAATGTTTACACGAACATATGCTTTCTCACGTGCCAGTACATGGTCTTTCACAGGCTGGAAAAAAAGATTAAGCGGGGGAGTTAGAAAGATTGAGGTTACAGCTATAATGCACTCACCACGTGTAGTCTGCTGGTGGGTGAAACTCAGCCTGGACTTTTTGCAGGGTCAAGGGTCCTTGGGTTTTACAGCCTCTGTTCAGTCTGTAGCTGGAGTGTATTTATATTAAACAGGTGCCCATTTGTGTAGATTTACCATGAGGGCTTCAGCTTTCTCACCACCACCCATTAGCATCAGCTAGAGCCCTGCACTCAACTGAGGTCAGTCTGCTACCCTGTCCTACTGCACAGGCATCCTGCACCCAGAGAAGAAAGCCACAGAGTATATGTAGCATAAATCTTTGCAGGATCTGTGTCCAAGTTGCTTTTTAAGCATATACAAAGGAAGTTATTGTAATACCTTGTTATTGAAATACATACATTCCAAAATGTTTCTAATACATTTGTCCTACTATGTGGGGAACCAAGTGGCCAGAGACACATAGAATAACTATCCCATGTGGGCACAAAGACATTGAAGCTGCATGTCTACACTGTAGTCACAGGTGTGAAATGTACCTTCTGTGTCAGAGTTACCTTGAAGCTACCCAAAAATAATTAAGTGGGCTTGCCTCTAGAAACAGGGATCAGGCTCGCTGAGACAGCGAGGAACTACGTATGCATCTAGCCAGAGCTTCATACGACTGAGTCTAGCTGTACCAAAGCCAACTACTTTAAAACTAGCTTGAGGACAGCTATGCAAGCTGCAGTCATGCAGCTTTGGTCTTAACTGCTTCAAAATCCTGTGCAAGTCTCTTGAACATAGGCTAGTCTCCTTCTCATGTTAGTCTAATCTTCATATTATTGGCTTTTTTCTGTGGGAGATACTGCTTGTTACTCAGTACTTCCCTTTTTTTCAGTTCCAAGAAAAGAGATATGGGGCTGCCATTTCCCACATAAAGACACAGCCCTATCAGAGACATCATCAGCACAAGTAGTTCATCAGATGTTTCCTGTGGGATAGAACATTATTAAATCATTTTGGAAAACCTGATTTTCCCATGTGAAATAGTTCGAACACTTCGAGTGGAAAATTGTAAGCAGTCACATGGAAATAATTTTTATCTACACTCACAAACTTTCTTTTTTGCAACTTTTTTTTGCTCACAAAACTGACAACAAATGAGAAAATTATTCCTCCCCATTGCCACTTTCACAGATTATCTCTATCACCTCCTTATTTTTTTCCTACTGGGAAAAGATTCTGCAGCGTTAATACAAAGTTTTCAGTGCAACTCTGTTCCAGGGACCAAAACACGGTTTATTCAAATGTTCTTTTTCAGCTAGCAATTGGAGACAACTAAAAGGTTCTTTTTCTGTGTTTGTCCTGGGAACTTACTATTCTAGTGGTAACGTGCACCTTTGCAGGTTATAGCACAGAAATATACGGCATATTTGTATCCTGAACAGCTAGTATATACAGAGAAAGCCTGACGTGCCCTGGGTATGTGTGACGAGCAATGCTCCCACCTCGTGGTCAAATCATAACCCTGCGTTTTGACAGGTTTTCGTTTCAGTAATACATTCCTCTACGCACTGCAAGAGCATATAATGTAATGTAATGTAACATAACATAACATAACATAACATAACATAACATAACATAACATAATATAATATAATATAATATAATATAATATAATATAATATAATATAATATAATACGATATGTAGCCTTTTAAATATACAGACTCTATGAAGAGTTCATAACAGGCTTACCAGAAATTGAGTTTTTAGCATTCTTTATTTTGGTTTTGTTAAGCTATACTGTTGCTTAACAGTAGTTAAAAGCCTACATGTTCTATACATTGCCCGTGTCAACATGTAAAGCTGGCTTTTGGTCTTAATTTTTCCTGACAATCATTCCTTGATCAGCAAGTGGAAAATTCCCTGATTATAAAGGTAAAGTACAGGGGCTTAATTTCCTTCTGTCCCAGTTGTCCCCAAAAATCAAGTGGCAGAGTGGCTGGCACAGAATGTTGTTATCTGAGAATGCTTTTGGTATAGGAACATGGTGGTGTGAAGGAGCCGTGAGGATGGCTCCACAGTTACCCCAGACATAGTTGAATTAACAAGATTCTTCCCAGCTTCGTTTAATGAGAATGCAGCTTTTTGCAAAGCTGTTCAACCATTTAAGAATTGTCTGTCTTTGCAGCCACCTGCAGATACAGTTTTCATGTGTGTCGATCTAGCCAAGACCACCACATAGCAATGAACACTAAGTAGACTTCTGACAAAACTCTGCTCATGTAATCTGTATAATGCCAATGTAGTTTTAAAAGAGGTTACTCAAGCATATAAACGAACAGCATTTGTCTATATCTTCTTGAGAGAGGTAAAAAGGTAAATTTCAGGTCATATAAATAATGGTGCCATTTCTATTTCTGTTCCAAAAGATAGGCTGATTTCTCCTTTATTGTCAGAAGCAAAAAGCCCATTTCAGTTTGTAAGGCAAACACATTGGATTCCTCCTTGCTGCTTGATAGTGCTCTTGATATTATATGTCAGAATCCAGCAGCAGTGGCAAATTGGAATGACAGTAGTCTAATAGTCTGCTTCTAAAGACAATTTCCTTCCTTTTCTTACTTCTTTTTATGGCCTGTTATTTGAATTACATTAAAGGTTATTGCCCCAAGTTAAAAATCAGAAAGCGTTGTACTGATACCTTCTGGAAAAGCTTGCTTGCAAGCATAAGGGCATTTTGCTGTCCAAAAAGACATATTTCACCATAACTTCTCTCTGCTGAACAATTGCTCCATAGTAGTGCAATATAGGATAACTGGAGGGGAAAAAGCTTC